TAGCCTATAGATATATACCTAATAATAATTTGTAAATATTGGTAGGTATATTAACTGCGTAAAAAGTTACCTAGTTACATACATTGTTCTAATGTTAATATTTAATGTACATACAGTGTGATTCTTTTAAGTTTTAACTGTAAAAATGCATTATCCTATAAAGTATTTCATTTTTTGAAATAATGTTAAGTACTGAAATTACATAGTGATGGTGTACTCAAGAAGAGGAGAAATAGAAAAATAGATTAAAAAGTTTGTCGTAAAATCTTAACTCCCACCCCTTCAATAGCAATAGAATATAGATATATTAAAAATCAAAATAAATATTATTTTTTCTATTCATATCTCATAATTTAAAAATGTAACAGCTATATCATTTATCAAAGTAAGTACCTAGGTTATTTATCTATATAATTATCATTTTTTTTAAAGTTTTAATACATGGCACCAAGAACTTCTTTAGGATCAATAAAAACTTTATATGTATGGCCAATCCAATAATGATTTTTCATTACAGGGATGGTTCTAAAAACAAGGTAATTAAGAACAACTATAAGGAAGTTGGTTTACTGTACGAGATATTGAATGTTCTTACTTCTTAGGCATTAAGTATTTAAGTAAGTAGGTCACTGAATAATGAAATAGATACCTATATCAAATTTGACATTTACGTAGTAAATTCTGAAAAAACTCCAACAACAATTATTTTATAAAAAATACCATTGAGAATCTATTCATACATAGAATAATTTTAACCTATTTATAAGTTTTTACATTTTCAATATTTTTATATTTAAACAAATTGATAAAAATTGCTAACTAAATTTTTAATTAAATTAATTTTTTATTTTGTTGTAATTCAAAAATAAATGATCGCAGAAACTTGACATCTTTTCTGAGTATTTATATTATTATTTTTTGTTTATGGTATAATTTTTAAATTTTTTGATATATTTATAAACAATTTAAATTTTTGATTTTTGTTAATTTTTTACTGTGAATTTTGATAACAATTGATGAATGAATAAAAACGCTTGTAAATTTAATACAGTGTTCTTAAAAGGTACCTTAAAGTTTTTAATTTTTTACTTAAAAAATATCAATAATTTATAGTTACAATATTTTTTTATAAGCATTTAAATTTAGAATTTTGATAAAATTCGTCAAAATCGCGAAAGTTACACATTATTTTACAGTGGAAAATAATAAAAAATGATCTGTTTAAACTTAAAATTTGAATATTTAATAAAGGTTCTTTATACATTTTATACTAAAATAATACTTCTACCGAAAAGTCAAATTAATTTTTTACGACCGTTTGAATTTTTATGATAGTAGAGATATTCATCGGTATAAATCTATAATAACTATTTCTTCCCAAATAATTATTACTTTTTGCTGTAATTTAAAAAAGAATAACCAAAGATAATTTTTATGAAATGTTTGTATCAACATTTACTACATATGATATAATTTTCAAACACTTTTTATCATTATCATTTATCCCTATAATTCATATCATGTCATTTTATCATCCCTAAGTTATTCACTGTGTCAAAATTCTTGAAAATTTAATACAAGATCACACATAAGTTGTTTCCAGTTGTTTTTATATCCGTATTAAAATATTAAAAATATATAGGCACATTTTTTTTTATATGCATTTGAAGTTAAAGTTTTGATGAAATATTTTGTAGGTTATAAATTCAAAAACTTTCTTTATATATATATATACATAAATTTTGAAACTTTAATAAGGTCTCATTATTAATTATACTGAAACCATAAAATCTGAAAAATGTATAAAACAATTATTTTTTATAGACATTGTAAGTTCAAATTTGGACGAAATTACTTATTTTAACAATTATTATTTGATATTATAATTTAAAACATAATTTATATTTAAAATTTTCAAGTATGTCATAGTTACTAAAGATATTTTATTCTTTTAAGATATTATCAAACAACCTATTTTAATTTTAGAATTTACAAAAATGTATTAAATTTTAGAGTTATACGCAATAGTTGGCCTGTCTGTTAAAATATGTATTATTATTTTTGAGCTTCAACAGCAATGATTATTATAACAGATTGGTTTTTACTGTGGGAGGTTTGGGTCAGTGTATATGTGGTGAAGATTTTTACCACTAAAAACTTGGATGAGATCATTGGTTATCCATCGAAAGGGTGATTTTAGAGCAACGGCCGATGATGACCACTGCAAAACACGTTAACGACTGGGAGCATTCACTGACTCGTCTCCACACCAGGCTACAATAATAATATGTATGATCAGTGGCGTATTTACGGGGGTCCTAAACCCCCAGAAAAATCATAAATAGTTTGCTACGTGGTACATCAGGAAAAATAATATTAATTTATAATTATGTGTTTTAATGTTTGTAACCATTACAATATTTTAAAAATAACTTGGGTTTAAATGACATTTATTTTTCATAGTGAAGCTAATATAATATAAATAATAATTATTATTAAATCATAACTCGTATGTAATTTTATTATAATGTTATAAACTTATATCATTGATTAAACATATGTTTAATCAATGCTTATATTAATATTAAACCCCCTCCACCACAAAAATTGAAAATAACCCTGTATATGATCATAATTAAAGTACTAATAAATATGATAAATAAATACAATATTTTGGAAAAATTAGCATGTTGGAGAATATGACATATATTTATATATGTAATTACTAACTTATCGGCCAGTATGAAAATTGAAAAGTAAAATTAATTACTTCTTAGCTACAAAAACATACAGTAAACTTAAATTACTGCACTAGTGTATATAATAACTACCTTTCCATTAATTCTACCACCTTTTTGGTTTTCCGTTTTAAGATTATTATATATTATTATTATTTTGGTTTTCTGTATCTATATTGTGACTTATTTTGCTTTGAAAGAATACATGGTCAGCGAAATTCGGCAGTGAGTCGATAGTTTAGTTGTAGTGATGGAGTAACCATGAATTTCCTTACTCTAGCTAGCGAATGCGATACAAAGAATAATGCAGTGAGTTTTTTACAAACTCGTGGCATTTTGTATAATCCGAGATTATGTAAATATAAACATGAAATGGTTTTGAAACTCACTGACAAACAAGATCTTTGGTGTTGTTCAAAACGTGAGTGTCGATAATACGCGCCATTACGTGCGGATAATTTTCTGACTGGTTCACGTCTCGACTACAAAACAATAGTGATGTTTATTTATAGTTGGAGTAAGGAATATACTTCCATAAAGTTTTGTGAGGAAGAATTTAACATGAACCACAGCACAACAGTGGACTGGAACATGTACATGCGTGAAGTCTGTGAATACACTTTAACAAACAGTAGTGCTAAAATAGGTGGTGTTAATACAAGTAATACAACTGTTGAGATCGATGAAAGCTGTTTCAGTAAACGTAAATATAACAGAGGTAGATTTTTACCAAATCAATGGGTTTTAGGTGGTATTTGTAGGGAAACTAAAGAAACTTTTCTATATAGTTCCTGTTCCCGACAGATCAGCACGAACATTGTTGCCAATTATTATTGAACATGTTGTTGCAGGCACGACAATAATTACTGATGAATGGCGCTCCTATCAAAGGCTAGATCAAACTTTTCAACACATGACCGTGAATCATTCTATTAATTTTGTAGATCCTAATACTTTGGCTCACACTAATACTATTGAGAGTTCTTGGGGCAAAATAAAATCTCGAAATAAAAAACATGGGGGTATCTATTGACCAATGCTGAATAGCTACTTGGTCGAGTATATGTGGTGTAAGCGTTACGGTCTTAATAATTTATTTGAAACGATGCTACAACATATTGCACACTTCATGCCCCCAGAATCAAAATAATAATAATATATAATAATAATAAAAAAAACGGAAAAACCAAAAAAATAGTGGTAGTGAATTGACGGAAAAGGTTCAATAGTTTGTATAAGTGAAAATTCTTGGGAATATAATTGGGAAAATATCAAGAATTTTTTAAAATTATATATTTAATATTTGTCAAGAAATTACCCAAAGATATTAAATTCTTACATTCTTACATTATGACAGATTGTCTTCCTCTGAATCGTTTTTCGTACACAATGATATTAGAATCGTACTACATGTATTATTACTAGGTAGCCAATAGGTATACTCGACACCAATTATTCACTGCAGAGATTTGTTTGATTTTTTAAAATTCATATTCCAAAACAGTATGGTATAACCGTATAGGTAAATACATACCTAATGAGTAATGACTTTAAAGACATATCTTATTAGCATTGTTTACAAGATAATCTATAATTTTTGACAAGACCAAATCATAAGTAGTTAGCTATGTTATCCATTAATCATTACTTATTAGTAAGTATTAAGTAGGTACTAAATATAGTAAGTGTTTATCCTTTTGCATTTATTTTTACGTTCTTAAAAATTTTAACATAATAATCATTAATCGTATAATTATTTAAATTACCTATTTTACTGTCGAGTATACGTTATTATAAATTAACTGTAGTCATACATCTTATAATTTTTTTTGTCTCAGTTCAAATAAAAAATTTTTGGATGATGTATTAATATGAGTGAAATAGGAAAGAACACAAAATTCGAATGAGGATCACGTTGGGTTATTTTCAAACAGAGTGACGTATACTTAATTTTTCGAAAAAAAAATTAAAAATCCCAAAATAATTTGTACTAATAATAGATATTAGGTTTAACTGGTTTAAGTATAATCAAAGCAAAGAATACTTTTAGTATAGTATACAATGCAGTTACTGTGATATTAAATATTATGATTTATGAATAACATGAAATTTTAAAATATAATAATTTCATAATAATAGGTTTAATTTTAATTTGTTATGAATGTTATGATAATACTGCAAATATAAAACATATGTTTTCAACTATAATTATAAAAAGCGCATGCGCCTTATCAGTACGTATATAATCTTATCATCGTTAGTTATTGGCTTTAGCTTATTAGTTATTACTTATTTATATTTTGTTGTCTTCCTCTCTTGTTTCTCGTGACTAGTTGTGTACTTGAGTTTTTGTGTGCATTCCTAAGTCAAGTCTCAACATTACGTACGTAATTACTGGGTAGTCGATTGTATTGTTGACTTTTGAACCTTCTATTGGCGTAGTCCATTTTTTTCAATTTTATTAAATATATTTTATTATAACTTTAATTGATAAATAGACAAATATAATAAAGTGGTGATTTCAGTCTTAAAATGAATATGTTGTAAGTAAAAAAGCGAAATCACTGGTTTATAAAATAGATGGAAATGGCTGAATATGAATTACGGCAGAGGAAAAAAGAAGATGATGGAGAAATTAATCTCCAAGAGGATAAAGAAGAAATCAAATCTGCTGAACAGGATAAAGTTCATTCTGAAAACAAACCAGAACCAGTAAGATTAAACTTACTAACCTTGTCCTTTGTGGCAGAATTCACAGTACACAACAATTTTCTAATATTTTGTTAAATTTTTAATATTTTTTCATTACTATTATTAGACTATGATAGAAAATATATTGTACAGTCTATGTTAAATAGTTAGTAGAATTTGTCTAGTAGCTAGTGATGTGTTATATTTTAGTTTTTTTAATGGTGTGTGCGCTAAAGTCATCAATCATTATTTATTTGTTACATTATTATTATTTACATACCTAATATAGGTAATTAATTTGTAATTATCACCTGGGAGCTGGGACATCTTTTTATGATTATTTATTCTTTAATTAGTTGTTAAATTTTTTAATATATCAATTTACCATTAAGGTCTACAGCATGATTTAATTTCATTGTTTAAAATGTAAATTAAAAAACCTAAACAAAATAATATATAATCTTATAGGTTCCGTATTTTATCTTATTTCTATTATCAATAAATTATATTCTATATACCTACGTTTTATTATAAATTCAAAATTGTTTTTACTATAATATAGGTAAACTTTATTAAGAATGTAGGTACATAGTTGAATATACAATTTTATAAGTAACCATTTTAGGTTATTTTATAATAATAACCTTTTATTATACGTTAATCAAATAGATGAAATTTCAAATTTTTTGTGAAATCTATTCAATATGTTTAATTTAATATTTATCTATATAATTTTAAATAATATTTTATTTACTTGTTAGCTAATTATTTCAGTTAAAATTATTAGTTGTTGTAAACATATATAGGCTATAATTCAGTAAAAAATTTTTCAGATTGATGATTGTACTCAGTCATGTGTTGTGACAAATACTATGCCACATTTGGTTAGGCGTTACAGGCCAGTTCATAAGATATATAATGCTTATCAAAATTTACGAAAATTAAAAGGTCCTAAACATTGGTATGCAGGCTCAAATTATTTCAGTAATCAAGCCTCATTCAATTTCCGAACAAATAATTATCGTAGGTCCAAAGTAAGTTTTCTGCTCAAGTATTTTTGGGTAAACATTGGATGTGGCATGATCGTGGAAACATGTATATGGTGATGGTACTACAAGTATTCATGCTTGTTACAGATTTAGAAGATTCCAGTTCTTCATATTACAATCGCTTAATTTTATGTTTCTGTTTATTGATTTAACTAGGCCTAAAATTAAAATAACAAATAAGCTAAAATATTATATTTATGTATTAAGCACCAAAAATAATTAATTTTAACAAAAGTTATATGCAAACCAGTTAGATTTGCTGGTACAAAAAACTTGAAATTATGTTTATTCATAGTTAATAATAATAAAAGCAATTTTATTTTGCTTAAACAGTAAATAACATTAAATTTGCATGAAAACGCTTCAATCAGTTATACTTAACCTTTTTAGGTAGTTTATATAAGCTTCTATTAACTTAATATTATTTACATGTCACAAGAGAAAATTTCTTAAATAAATTAAGTTTACATTTGCTTGGTAAATTTTTAACACAATAATATGTAACAGTTATTTAAAATAATTTATAATTGTTTATTAGTTATACATACATTTTTAATAATAAATTTTTCATTTATGACTTATGTTCTAACAAATTATTATACTTAGCCAATATTAAATAATAATTGACTTACATTGAAAACATACAACAGTTATAAAATTAAATTTTATAGTGTTTTAAAATGATTTATTTTTATTATTATTATATATTTATACTGCTAACTCTTGCCAATTAGAACTAAATAATAAATCAAAGATGTATTTTTAAATTTTGAGTTATTAAGAGTTCATTATATTAATTTTTATTGACAATTATTTATTTTATTATTAATATATAATTTAACATTATAAACAAATATTTGTTAAAAAAACATTAAAGAATTATTTTAAGATAGGTAGGAAATAAGGATTAGGGAATAAATATTTATGTGCATTTTAGTTTAATTGCTATGGTGTTATGACTGTTATGACTAAAGACCGGATTTTGCATATTATGCATGTTCATATTTTTATAAGCAATTGCATGCAATAAATGGGTTTTCATCAATCATACTTAAATAAATAATATTACAAACTTTTATTTTGCATATTTTTGCATATTTTGGGTTCAAGTGCATATTTTATATAAAAACGCATGTTTTTACATAATACGTATACACTAAGTATAAATTTAATTTAATTTTATAATTGTATGAACAATTATTATATATAAATTTTTCCACAATACAAAAATTGAAAATATTTTGTTTCCATATTAGTTAGTAGGTAGGGAGGTTGTCGAGTTTTAAATATGCGCCCATAACAAGCGTTGATGTGGAACGAAGTTTTTCTGCATATAAACATATTCTCACAAATCGCCGTCATAATTTAACCGAGATCAATATGGAATATATTATTGTTACTTATTGTTTTTCTAATATCGAATAAATTAAAATTTTTTTCATTTTTATCATCATTATATAATATAATAATATTGTAGTTTATTTATATTTTCATAATTTATATTTTGATTTTATAACTTTACAATGAATAAATAGCTGTATAATCAAAAATTATTTTGCATATTTTGCGTTTTATCTTGCATATTTTGACTTTTTATAGTGCATGTTTACATGCATATTTTACAATTTAAAATGCATATAAATCCGGTCTCTAGTTATGACTGTTATGATGTATATAATTATTTGTGTTTCTTTGTTGTATCATGGTAATATGTTTAAAAATTATATATGTGATCTATATTTGTACTTATTAACTTTAATATTGAATTATATTTAGATAATTAATTTATATTGATAGGTACTAAATTTTATTTTTATTCATCCATTTTTATAATTAGTGTAAACCATTATGTTTTACTGCTTATTTAAATAGTTAAAATCAAGAAATTCAGTGGGCCAATGTGTATAAATATAATATATTATTATAAATTAATTATAGATACATTTATTTTTTTTTTTTTAATAGAAAGAAGATTTTGATTCTGAAGATGATAAAAATATAGATCTCTCGGCAAAAATACCATCTGGTACTAATAAAATGCCACAAATATTAGAAACATTATTAAGTGGAATATCAGAAAGGTAATTACTCTTTGTTTAATTTAGTTTAGTGTAACTATATATTAATAAATCTTTTTTTTCATAGATGGAGAAATTGGATAATTAGAGGTATATTTGGATGGCTTATGATTGGTCTTTTTTGTCTCTTATGTTATGGAGGACCTCTTGCTTTAATGATAGCTGTATGTATTTCAAAGCATTTTATTTTTATATTATATAATTACAAAGACAATATAAATCAATATTCTCTTTAAAGGGCTTCATGATTGGCCTATTAATTTATTTTATTTTATTTTTAAAGAGTGGTCAAGGTTGAAAAAATTTAAATTACTAAATATGTGCTCATAATAACAATAATAATCATAATAATAAATAAAAAACATGTTGGAATTGATTCAATTAAATCAAAAGTGTTTAAAAATATATATATTTGCATTTGGTATTTATTTAATTATATTATGTACATTGATTAATTTTATTAATAAGAATAAATTATATTTATTTATATAGGTTTACTATATAAGTTACTTTATGAACCACAAACATATAAATTTAATAGGAAACGTTTTTAGTTAATTATTGTTTTGTTATGTATTAGGGACATTAACACGTGTCTTAATATACTTTCAACAAAAACAATAATTGAGTAAAAATAAACCAAGTATACTGGGGTTTTATAAAAATCAGTATGTTAAATTTATATTGATGAAAAGTACATTAATTTTTTAATCATATTTAAGTATAAATATGTTTATTCTTGGTATTAATTTATCATCTATTTAAATTATAAGCTTCATTAAATATTCTTTTTATGTTTATAATGTAATTTAAACAATTAAAAATGAATAACAAATAATTTATATTTTTAAAAAGATAGTTATAACATGCATTTTAAAACAATTATTCATTTGACTTAAACATTTTAAGATATTAAATAATATTTATATTTCCATGAATTTATTAAAATTATCAATATCTGATAATATATACGTATTATATTTTCAATAGTTTTTAAAAATAGATAAAACATAATTAATTATTTATAAATTTAAATTAAATGATTTAACTTAAATCTAAAATAACTTATTTTAATGTATTAAAATTAATTACAGGTTTTAGTTGTCCAGGTTAAATGTTTTGAAGAGATAATTAACATTGGTTACTCGGTTTATCGTATTCATGGGCTGCCTTGGTTTCGTTCTTTATCATGGTATTTTTTGATGGCATCTAACTATTTTTTTTATGGTGAAAGTCTTGTAGACATATTTGCAGTAGTAGTTAATAGAACAGTAAGTTTTTAATAATATTTTAATCTTTATTATGAGTATTTATATTATTATTGAATTTTTAATGTAGGAATATTTGAAAATGCTAATAACTTATCACCGGTTTGTTTCATTCAGTCTATATATTGCTGGTCTAGTATGGTTTGTATTGTCATTGGTGCGAAAATACTACATGAAACAGTTCTCATTATTTGCTTGGACTCATGTGTGTCTCTTGATTGTTGTATCTCAAAGTTATTTTATTATTCGAAATATATTTGAAGGACTAATATGGTATATAAATTATTCAATATTAATAAATGTTTTAATTTTTTTTAACAAGTTCCTCATTATTTCCTATGCTCACAAAAATTAAAATTATTTTGTGAATTGATTATTTAAATTTATTTTTAAATTTCAGGTTCATTGTACCAGTGTCAATGATAATACTTAATGATATTTGGGCTTACGTCTTTGGGTTTTTTTTTGGACGAACACCACTTATACAAGTATCACCAAAAAAAACATGGGAAGGATTTATCGGTGGTGGTGTTGCAACTGTAATTTGTGGTATAATAGTAAGTTATCTTTATTTTAATTAATTATAAAAAAAAAAAAATAGGCAAATGGAATACCACTCTGCTTTAGTACTTTATGTGTTTAGTTGGTCACTGTTATGGATATGTTAAATTTGATTTCAGTGATGTATCATGGTATAAAAAGTTATTTTGAGCAGAGATAATCTGTTAGCCTATGTCACAAACTATATTTCATGATATATTATTTTGATACACATAGTTATTATATTCATTTATTTTACTTTTAATATATTACAGTAGGTTACTATATTTTTTTTCTAAAAATATTGCATTTATTTTATGAATAGTATTTAATTATTATAATAATATATATGTTAACCATATTATGTTAACTTATATAAATATAACTCAAAATTTAATAATACCTTTTTGTAAATTCTGTAAAACAGTAAAAATAGGTTTATCATTGAGATAATATCTTAAAAGAAATGAAAAAATATTCCTTTTAGTAAAATTCATAACATATTTGAAAATTTTAAGTTCTACAAATTATATTTTTAAATTATAATATCAAAATAATAGTTGTTAAAATAAGTAATTTCGTCCAAATTTGAACGAAAATTTTTTTCCAAATTTTTTTTTTATGTCTATAAAAAATAATTGTTTTTATACATTTTTCAGATTTTATGGTTTCAGTATAAATTCATTATGAGGAATCTTGTATTACATTTTCAAAACTTATGTATATGTATAAAGAAAAGTTTTTATGAATTTCTATAACTATAAAATATTTTGCAACTTTTTACAATTTTGACAAATTTCATCAAAATTTTAACTTCAAATGCATATAAAAAAAAAAAAAATGTGCCTATCCTCTACTCAGCCTAAGAACGCACCGGGTGGCGGTTTAAAACTGGTCAAAACTCGTGCATATATCCCCATCATTGACGGTGGCAATGGCAGTGATTATGCCGTTGTCGTAAACCGACAAATGGTGACCAATCACAGAGCGATTAATACTCGGTTAGGGGTCTGGATGTCATTCCACTATTCATTTGAATGCTCTAAAGTGGTGGGTTCTTAGGCTGGATAGAGTATATGTATTTTTAATATTTTAATACGGATATAAGAACAACTGGAAACAATTTATGTATGATCTTGTATTAAATTTTCAAGAATTTTGACATAACAAATATTTTTTTTATCAATAATTAAAAAAAAAAAAAAAAAAAAATTAAATATTTATCGTTCTTAAAAAGAGTAAACATTTTTGGAATTAGATCATTTAATGAAAATAATAATCTAAACATTTGATGAAAATTTCAAGTATTTATTGTTAATTTTTTTTTGAAATTCAATAAAATATCAAAAATTGTTTGAGGGGAAATAGTTATCTTACAGATGAACATGAAATCGTTACTTTTCAATTTTAAATAGGAACTACTACTTTCATGTTAGAATAGTAAATACAATTCTGTAGTTATAAAATGTTAATTTATAACTTAAGTGGCAATACTCTTATCATTTTCAATTTAAATAAGACATCAAAAGAAAAATTTTTTTCTAGATGAATCAGTTAAATTGAGTATGATACAAGTAAATATGTTGTCTAAAATTTTGAAAACTGAATGGTAACAGTTTTACACTTTTATATTAACTAAATAATACATAATGGAAGTGGTGTTTTATAAATTTATTGTATTTGCTGAAATTATATTTTATTTAAAAAATGTAGATTCTACATACATATTTATATTATTACTATACTAGTCTTTTCAATGAAAAATATTCATAAGATGTTAAAATCCAAAAATTTAATAGTATTAATTTATTATTATTATTATTATTTTTATTAGTTACTATACTATTTAGTGTATTTTAATATTTTAAAACTGAAACCAATATTTATATTCAATGAAAATTAATGTGATTAATATGTATTATGATACTACTAAAGTATACAAATACCATATTGAAATATAAATAAAATCATAAAAAAATTATTATTTTAATATTTTTTTTATGTTTTTTTATAGATATCATATTTTCTATGTCAATATCCATATTTTGTATGTCCAGTTGAATACAGTGAAAAGTTTGGTAAAATGATTATTGATTGTGAACCTTCTCCTTTGTTTACTCTACATGAATATGTTCTGCCAGAATTTATTGCACGTGCTATGAGTGTGGTATGTATAAAAAGTTAATTATGTTTACTATACAACAAATATATTAAATTAAGTTAAGAAAAAAAAACATTCATAATAATTAATAACTTATTTAAACTTTGCATTGTTTAGTTTGGAGGTTCCAACAAAATCACTATTTATCCTTTTGTTATTCATGCTTTTTGGATGTCATTGTTCAGCTCCATTATTGGGCCATTTGGTGGATTCTTTGCTAGTGGATTTAAACGAGCATTTAAAATTAAAGTAAATTAATTTAAAAAGTATTCACTTGCTTACTTTATATGTATATATATAATTTTTTTTTATTTTAGGATTTTGGAGATGTGATTCCAGGACATGGAGGTATTATGGATCGTTTTGACTGTCAATATCTTATGGCCACATTTGTTAATGTTTACATTTACAGTTTTGTGAGCACTCCTACCTTACAAAAGACAGTTCAACAGGTAATCTTTAAATAAATATTTTATTATGAAGGCATTATATCTATGTGTGTTAATTCCATTTTACAAATGCACAATTTATTAAATTTAACATCTACAATAATTTATTTTTAGTATTAGAAACAACTAATATATCTTAAAATTTAAGGATACAATTTTTATTAAAGACCCAATGTTTTTTTAAAATTTTAATTCAAAAAGATCAATTCATTTTAATATAGAAAATAAAAATATTACTTATTAAAATAGATTTTTCTAAAAGTAAAATTTACATTTGTGTGTTAATAAATTTGACACAACACACGTGGGTATAATATCTTCTTGAACATAATAAAAATAATACAATTATTTTATACAACATACATTAAATATTTAGGTAATAAACTTACGACCCGAAGAACAGTTACAATTATTTTACGTTCTCAAAGGATCATTGGAAAACCGGGGAATTCTCAATGTGCAATAAATATAAAATATTCATAGTTAACCAGCAACCTTTACATTCCTTCTTTCAAATACAATATTAACTTAAAACATAATTGTTTTTGGAGAGTTATGTTTCATTTGCTTTGTGTTCTTGATATGTACTTATTATAACATTTTTTGGTTTTTTTGATATATTTTATCAAATAGACTTTTCTGTTACAATTGCAGATACTTTTGTATAAAAATCGGTATGTTATTTAATTTATTTAGTTTAAGTTTGTTTGGTTATTTTCAATGTTTTAATTTTTAACTGAATTTATTGATTTTGTAAAACACTAAACATCACATTCTATATCGATCAGTATGAATTTAAAATCAACACTTTCACATTCCTATTGATTGTGATTGATTTCATATTTTATAACTATGTAGAATTTGTTTCAAAAATAGCTATAAAAACAAAGATAATACTATAATGTTTATTTCTTCATGAAACTTTGTAGATTTATAATAATTTTATTTTACATTTTTGTTGTTGTTTTGTTGAATTTTGTTAATTGTGTTGTGAGGATTTAATAAATACATTTTAATATTATATAATATAATATACTATAAACAGGGAGGGTGTGTGTGATGGTTGAAATTGTTTACAAATTGTATTAAATATAAGTACATTTAAAAAATAATACAATGGTTGAAACTAGAGTTTGACGTTTGTCTAAATGTTTTTAATCTATTATTATAATCAATTACCTATTTATTACCGTTTTCTTTATAACATACTTATATTTTTAATAGTAGGCAAGTCATTTATTCTATAACAAAACTATTAGTATTGATCAATTTAGTATAATATAATAATGTGTGCAAATAATTTACTGTTCTTTAAATAATAAAGACATTTATTTATTCCAATACATAATTGTTTGCTCTAGTATTTTATAGTATTAAACATCCAATTTTTATTTCAGATTTCGAACGGTGAGTAAAAACTCGTAATATGTCTTATTGGCTTATTATCAGTACTTAGGTAGTAAAAGGTAGTAAAACAAATAAAATATATATATTATCGAAACATCAACCAACAAGTGTAAGTCAGTCTGATAACAAAGGTATTTGTTGTTTTGGTTTTTTCATTAAAGGTCTCTGTTCGTAGCCTGAGAATCGTTTTTTGACTACGATCTAATCGAACTCGATGGTTTTTATATACACCGTTGGTTACGGGTTCGACAAAACCTTCCTCAGTGGATAAAACACCCCCAACCCCTTGTGGCTCGTACATTGGTTGCTATGGAGTTAAAAGGAAAACACGCTTCGAAGTTATCAGTTAAACGATCGGCTTCTCCGTATCACACCATTCGCGTTTCATCGTCGCAGATAGTAGGTGCCTCTTCTTATACATTAAATTATTTTCTATTGCTAATAGGCAACATTTAGGTATAGTCATATCATCACGGTTCGAGTTAATTAGGTACTACAGTGGTCCCGTGTGGTGACATACCTCTACGACACGTATAGAAGTAGAGAATGACTCGTAGTACGTAAAAAATCCTCCACACAGCTGCAGGAAACATGGACGGCGAAATCGTTGTGCAGGACCTCGAGCTACAATCGCTGATCGGATTCGACGGCAATCCTCTGAACGGCCTCATACTGCACCCGGACGGCGTTCATCTGGTGTACCCGCTCGGCACCAATATCACGGCCTACAATTGGCACACGAAAGCCCAGCGGTTCTTCGAGGGGCACACGAACGTGATATCGGCCGTCACGGTGTCGACTTCTGGCCGGTACGTGGGTTCGGGTCAGGTGAACTACATGGGATTCCGGTCGCCGATAATCGTGTGGTGCTTCCACACCGGGCAGGTGGTCGCTAAATACGAGTCGCACAAGGTGCGCGTCGAATCCGTCGCGTTCTCGTGCTGCGAGAACTTTCTGATATCGCTGGGCGGCGTCGACGACGGTTCGGTGATCGTCTACGACATCGACAAGCGGGAGGTGCTGTGCGGGTCGTCGTCCGTCAAGTCGACCGCTGGCACGGCGACGGTGCTCCGGCCGGTGCACACGCGCGGCGAGTGTTTCGTCGTGGCCGGCGATAACATACTCAGGCTGTGGACGCTAAACAGGGAACAGCGAAACATTCAGGGGCTGGACGGTTCGTTCGCCAAGATCAAGCGCAAGATCCTGTGCACCGTTATCGACCGGCTGGACGAGTATGCGTACTGCGGCACCAGCACTGGAGACGTGATGAAAATCAAACTGAACTTCTCGGCCGACACGGCCGTGGTGGCGCCTACCAACGCTCCGACCCTGGTCGGGTGTTTCGCCAAGCACCCGCCAGCCGGTAAGAACAGGCGCGGCGTTTCCGCCACAGCCGCCGTGGAACTGTATAGCAAAGGGATCACGGCGCTGTACCTGGTCGCGGACGGCACCATGTTGGTGGGTTCCGGGGACGGCGTCATCGAACTGGTCAAGCAGAGGGCCCGCGACGACGGTCGCGGTTCCGGTGGTCGCAGCTCGTACAGTAAAACGGGTAGCACGCGGCTGGCAACGCCCACCCGCCCGCTGCTGGTGGCCATCAAGTCGGCCAACGTCGATTCGTCCGTGACCAGCATACAGCTGATGGACGACGGCGTCGTGCTGGTGGGCACCGTCGACTGCGAGCTGTTCGCTGTCCGGGCGCGCGACTTCGACGTCACTTGCCTGTTCACGTGCCACACGTCTGTGGTGTACGATCTGGCGTTCCCACACGACTACAGCAAGGTGTTCGCCACCGCCAGCAAGCACGACGTGCGCGTCTGGTCCGTGGACACGCTGCAGGAGCTGCTCCGAATCACCGTGCGCAACTTCACGTGCTCCGGCGTGCTGTTCTCGTACGACGGCGCGCAGATCGTCACGTCGTGGAACGACGGCAACATCCGGATATTCGCCCCGGAAACCGGGCGGCTGCTGTACGCCATCAACAACTGTCATAACAAGGGCGTGTCGGCGATCGCCATGTCCAAGGACGGCCGGAAGCTGCTGAGCGGCGGCGGCGAGGGCCAGGTCCGGGTGTGGCAGGTGAACAACCTCAACGGGGCGCTGCAGGCCGTGCTCAAGGAGCACAAGGGCCCGGTGAGCTCGATCGACGTGCACCAGTTGGGCCATGAGGCGATCACGGCTAGCGCGGACGGCACGTGCGTCGTCTGGGACATTGTCCGGTTCACGCGACTATCCATCATGTTCTCATCGACGATATTCACCAGCGCCAAGTACCATCCTAATGGCGCCCAACTGCTCACTTGTGGCACTAATAGGTACATTGGATTCTGGGAGGCGCTCGACGGGTCGTTGATACGCGAGATCGAAGGATCGTCGGCGTCGGCGCTCAACTCGCTCGACGTTACGCCAAACGGTAGGTAGTATGTTTACTTTTTTTTTTTTTAATTTGAATCTAATAAATAGGTGGGAAAGTACTTTTGCATTACTGCCGCCCGTTCCCCATAGGATAGTATATATGCCCGTTCCCCATAGGATAGAATCGCAAGTGGGGCAGCAAGACAATTTTCTGCAGACCGCGCCCTTACAAAATCAATTTTTTTTTATATTTATTATCATTTTCTTCTAGTTGTTCGTTGCACCACCAGGTCTCTGCCTCTCTCGTTCTAGATCCTCCTTTTTAATAACTATTAAAATATATTGTACTATAATATACAATTTTAAGAACAGCGATTATAATCAGGGCTTTTCGTTTTGTCTATTTCATTAATATTTTCAGCCCAGACATTTGCACCGTATAGAATAACCTTCTAGTTGCTATAAAATACGCACTACTCTCATTAGAAACTCTTGTTTACTTTGCGAAGGACCACCGACACTAAGTATGAATTTACACAAGATGACTGCTGCAGTGCCACCCTTATAGCCCCAGATGTAACTATTGTCGTAAAATTCAACAAATAAAAATCTTTCGGGAAGCTGAACAAAGTAGGGAAGTGCCCGCTTCGCCTCTATTTGAAAGTCACTTATGAAAAATGTCGATTTGTGGTAATTGATAACGATAAGCATGCTTTTTGGTCGACATGACAGACTCCGATTTAGAATTCAAAAACTGTTCGTTAGAATTTTGATAAATCAGCATTTTGAAATAATCATCTGCTTAAATATTTATAATAAAAAGTTAGATCTCATATGAAAAAAAAAATATATCGTCACAGGTCACATAATACTACCCAAATGATAAAATAAGTATAAATAATTAATAGTTTGTATTCTATACTTTAAATTTTTACACATTGTAACGTTTTTCTTTTTTGTACGTTGTGATATTTTGATTGATTTTAGAATAATATCAATACGTGTTGACGTGCGTCAGTGAGTCATCCGTTTAAATAGTATTGTGTACCGCTGTGTAGATGATTAGCAATCACGTTTTTACAGGTAAGTACATCGTCACCGGTAGTTCAGATCAAATGGTGAAAGTGTGGCTGTACAACGAGGGGGTACCCACGCATGTCGGTGTGGGTCACGCGGGTGTGGTGACAAACGTGAAGGTAAGCCCGGACGGTAAGTTCGTAGTGAGCACGAGCGCGGACGGCGGCATATTCCTGTGGCGTTTTCCGCACGTCGCGGACACCGCACCACCCGGCAGCCGGTGCAGCGCAAACAGTGGTGGTGGCGGTGCAGGCAGTCTGCGGGAACAGCAGACCGACCGCTCAAGGCAGCTGTCGCTAAAGAAGACGTTACCGGCTAGGAAGGAGAACATCAACGTCATATCCAAGGCGCAAAAGGTACGGACGGACGCGGATGGTAGCGGATCGTCGACTGCGGCGACGTCATTGAAAGTAACAGGTGACGGAAATACCGTCGAAAAAGCCGTCGATGGATCGGTAAAATGTCTGTGCCGGCGAGGGTCGACGGCCACTTGCGTTCGTTGCGACCACGGTACAGAGAGCTGGAAGGTCAAACCGTTTGCCCGATGACGAGTACCTAAATTATTATTTGTACTAAGCAGTACAATAAATTATAATTTAAAGCATGGACTTTACCCCATTTTGGCGTTGTAAAGTATTTGTGTAAAATTATTGAAATACTCTTTTGAATTTATTTAATACAATTGTTTAAATACTAATTCGGCGTAGAGCATTTTTAAGGTTTTTATAAAAGTTAATATAAAAATAAAAATTTCCACTTTGAATATTTTATGTATTATTAACATTTATTTTGGATTTTCTTTTAATAATTGTTGAAAGTTTATTACAAACTTATTGAATAGTAAACTCGAGAATATTAAGTACCAGCTAGCAGCAGCTGCTGCTACATTAACTAATAATTTCGTGAGCATTTTAACTTTGAATGCTTACAAAAAATTGCATCTATGCTTTTTCGAAATTTTTTTGTCCTTAATAAATATCTTACTAGGAACTTTGTATTAACTTTTAAAAGTTTTCACAAACAAAACTCAATCGTATATTAATCAAAAAAAATAATAATAATAATAATAAAAATGTTCAAATATCTATAAATAGCAAAATAAAGGACAAAATATTTTGTCTAATAAATGCTTTTATGAATACTTTGTGAAAATATAATTTCTCTGTGGTTATTTATTTTTGAATAATTATTAAAAAAATATATGGTAACAAATTTATTATTATTACATACTTATTTATAATATATTTTATGTATTATATTATATTATATATTATTTTATACATTTTATCAATAAGACTTTAACTTTAAATATTTAAATGGTTAAATAGTACAATTTTACAATAGCACACATTCTCGCTGAAAGGGCTAAAAATGTGCCAATAAATTACAAGTTACTATAATATAGTATGTATTTCTAGTAGAAAACAAAATATAAACATTTTAATCAATTTACTAATTGTGATGTACAGTTAATACTGCAAATTGTGCAAAATATTTTACCACATTTATTGATTAAAAAGCTTCATAAAGTACAGACAGTACAGCTAATTTATTTTTATTGGCAATTAAGGAAGGAGTGACTTAAATAATATTATGGCGCACAACATCTCGACACGGGAAAAATCCCGGAAATTACAAAACTTCCAGGCTTCGAATTAGTTATTTATAAATTATCTAATTTATGTGAATAAGTGAAAACAGTTTAAGTAACAAATTATAAATTTGTATTTACTAATACTTAAAATTACTTATACTTATTAAGAAAATTTGATCAAAAATTTTTCAGTTTAGTTGGCTAACTTTTTTGAACCTAAATATTAATATTAATAGTTTATAAATTATTACCTAATAATTTATAGATCACGACAATATTATTACGTTGGATTGTTACACGGCGTCTCGGGTGTGTAATATTGATACACGCTATTCTCGCACTCATTTTTTACTGCCATTGATTATAGAATAGACTATTCTACAATCAATGTTACTACCAACATTTTAACATAACATTAAAAATAATGCTATTTTCCAGTTTTACATATTAAACTAAAAATAGAAGGTAAAATACGCCAAGTATGCTAGTTGACGTACTACAAGAGTACTGCAATAATTAATTACTTGAATGTAAGTAAAATAATACATTACTTGTGTATAAATTGATACTATACTTGTACTATTGGATTATCGCATGTTTGTACACCAGTGAGTGGCGGGAATATCGATATATTATACGCTCCGCGCAGTTTTTAAATAATACAATTATCTTTATTCTTTAAAAAAAAAAAAATAATTTAAAATATAAATTATTTTCTATCATATAAGTATTATAATAATATTTTTTTGTAAAATATGAATATAAAATAATTATTTATACATTTTACAAATTTATAAAAAATGTATTAGTTTGACAATGTTTTTTATAATTCGATGAAACAAATAATTAGAATTTGAATGTTATTGCTGTAAAAAAATACACACTTAATCTATTACGTAAAAATCTAACATTGACCAATGAGCTATCCCATTTGTTTCTTATAAATTTAATTCTTATTGCAGTACGATGGCCAATGAGTATAATAGGCACAAATCTATTAACTTTGTAAAATTTGATGTTGAAAACCAAATAGTGTTGGGAATTTGATATAATTACTTCAATTAATTTATTTGGGTGGATAATAATACTGTCTTGACTCATGACGATCTATCGACTACCGTTAACAATCATTCATCAAATAAAATTTATTATTCACCATTTATTATTATTCATTATTATTCTACTTTTCTATAATAATATTGTGACCAAAGATAGATTCAAGATTGTTATAAGATACTTGAAATTTTCACAAAACGTTTATATGTATTATCATTTTCAAAGTATTTAGACTTTTTGAGCTATTTGTAGACATGAGATAAATACCAAAAAAAAATATTTACTGGGTTGAAAATTCATTCATATTTAATCCAAGATCCCACGTAAGTTTTTCTCAGATCTGTATAAAAATATTAAAAACATATGCGAACAATTCAAAATTGTAAGAACTTTTAACTATTTTGTTGTTAAATTGTAAGAAATTCATAAAAATTTTCTTTATTTATTTAAGTTTCGAAAATTTAATTAAACATTTTTTATAAATAGTTTATACTGGAACCAAAATATTTAAAAAATATATTAAGTGAATTAATTTTACTGAAATTTAAGTTAAAATTTGTACGAAATTACTTATTTAAGCAATGGACATTCATTTTTAAGTAAAGTAAGTTGATATAATATAGTACTTATATTATTATATTATATTATTTAACGGTCAGTTATCCAGAAGTATGTACTGGTTTTTTATTATTTTCGGCAATTCCTGTAACATTCGCAAGTGCGGAATGGTAATTTTCAAGCTAAAAATAATTATTAAATGATCTTTAAGAAATACGCAATGCCTCAAGATTGTTTAAAAAGTCTGATATTTACTTTCATTCAAATAAAATACAGCTCGTGAGTTTGGTTTAAAGATTTAATTGATAAGTTTACAAAGTTTGCTGAAGCAAAAGCATGAAAGAAGGCATTTTTATAAAACTCGCCAGTCATTATTTTAAGTAAAATTTTTGTATTAAAAATTTTTTATTGCCATGTTTATGTTATTTAAACCAAATAAAATGTTTAATAAAAAGTGACTATAAAGATAACTGAATACTAAACATGTTTTTAATTATTTATACTTTTATAGGACGGAATTTTGTGGGTGAGTACACATCTCCCTCCCTCAAATTTTTAAAGCTAAGAGCCTGTTGGATTGCCACAGGCATTACAAGTTACACTACTAGATTATTGATAAACTTTAAGGTCTATAATTAAGTCAAATGTTATGTACTTATCTATGTTTATAACTACTAAATTACCTAAGCTATTTAAGTAAATTATGTATCAACATTCATTCAATAATGTAAGAATTCTAAAATAAATTACAATGAATGACTAAAATAAATTGTTTCGATACTATTAAAATATTCGTTAAAGTGTAAAATTAATCAATAGTCTATACATTCAGATATATATATAACTATATAAGTACTCAAAGTATTTAGTATTATTTTGATTTGTTTGTTAACCGCCATAAAAAATTAAAAATTTGTCAGTTACCTAGAGGGCACTGGTTAGTTTTATCCAAGGTGGATATCCATATATAAGGTGGATATATCCACCTAACACCTTGGTTTTATCACAGAATAAATTTAATTAAATGAATTCATTAATTCTGTAATAATATATTGTATATAAATATCACAGATATATACTAATACTATATACTAATATAATAATTAGTATATATCTGTGATAAATATAAGTATAATTTTCTGTCCCTAGTCTTATAATTTAAATATTTTAGTTACCATTTCTCTTATCAACTGTGTTTGAGATTTAAAGTTTTGACGTTTTTAGTGTTTTGACGATTCAAGATTGAATACTAAAGTACTATTGATCTTGATCATATTTAAATATTTTATAGTTTTATGTTATATTTTAGTGAAACGGTAAAATTATGTTGAAAGTGTTAACATTGCTTCCTAAAGTAAGCCGTCCTGCCTTTAAAGGTTTTCAATGTAATGTCAACTCGTGCAGATTTGCATCTATACTGCAACAAAGTCAAACACAACAATTCTTTCGTCTGACTAAGCCATCAGTACAGTATCCATTATGTTTTTCTTTCATTCGTTTATGTCATGCAAAACCTTCAGAGTTAACTCCACGTGAAAAATTGAAAATAGCTGCTAAAGAATACGGTTCAGTGTTGATTGTGTTTCATGTTGGAATCTCATTAATTTCATTAGGTTTGGTATATTTTTTTATTTCTAATGGTGTTGATGTCCAACAATGGATTGCGTGGATGGGTTTGTCAAATGCAAACGAAAACACTAAAATCGTAGCTGGTGCGAGTCAATTTATCATTGCATATGCCATACATAAATCTTTTGCTCCAGTACGCATTTCAATAACACTTGTATCCGTACCATTAATTGTACGATACCTTAGGACAAAAGGAATAATGAAAATGAAGAAATAAACATTAATTATGAGAACCTATAAAATTGTATACATAATTATTGTTACTTTGGGTTTTAAAGTGTATTATTTTTAAATATATTGTTATACTTGTATAAATTGTTTAAATTGTGTAATAAAGGTCAAGGTTGTTAAAGTAAAATTATAATAATTGCATAAAGTTTACTTATAATTGATATTTTATTTACATTTTTTTTTTTTAATGTGTTACTAAGAATTTAATCAAATTATTCTTATTACATTCATGGTTTCATAAACAGCCTCTATCTAGATTTCATATCGTTTATTTTTCAAGACTTGAAGTCTTGAAGATACCATTTACTTCTTACTTATGTCTTTTTTCTCTCCTTACACAATTCCATTTTGTCATGTTGAAAAAGCTATCTGTGACTTCATTCCCATTTTTCTAACTTCCCATCATTCTCTAATTTCCATTTAAAATAATTTTATTTTTTATGTAGTGATAATATAATGGTATTATCTCAATAGACTCTTAAGCTCTTTTAATTCTTCTTCTAGAACTGATGTTATTGATGTATTTTAATTTTTTAAATTTGCTGCATTCTTAATTTGATTTTAATGTAATTACATTTTCAATTGTATTTTTATATACTATGTTTTATTTGTATTATTAATTGTTGTTTTTATATCATATATATAATTGTAATTTTTGAGCTGTGTTAATTTAAATATTGGAAGATTTAAAAAAAAAATATGCAAGTCATACTTATTACTTGGTGTTGTGTCTTATCACATGCACCTATATTAATAAAATTTATACTCAATGAAAAATTAACATAATTCTAATAGACAAAATTTATAAGCAAACCATAATATGTCCATATATTTATTTAATTTATTTTGAATGTCTAACCTAGCTTATATTTAGGCATACATTTCTTAAGATTGACTATGATATCTATATAAATCAATGGCCTAATGCTATCAACATGTAGTCGAATAGGACAGATAGAGTATTACTCTATGATTGACATTATTTCTGTATATTACATAATATATTATTATATATTTGTATGTGTTAATAGTTTGAATAGCGAGTAACCACAACATATGATTTACATAAAAAAACTGGTGGTTGGTTGGCTTAATAAAATCTTTTAAGTTAATAATATTTGATAATACTAATGCAATACTTTCTCCACAAATAATGTTAATGTTTATTTTATTGAGTTCACACAACAATTATTTTCTATGTTTAATACATTAAAATGTTATTAATATTGTTTAATGAATGTGTTTACAATGATTCCATCAGGCTCCAAGTATCATAATATAGCTGTTTGTAGCAACATGTATATTATTATACATTTATTTTTATGATTAAAAAATTTAAAGTTTAATTATTAATATTTGGTTTATTAATATTTTTCTTAAATATTACATAATTATTGAATTTAATTTATATTATATTATATTCATATTTGTTTTGTATTTGAATCATTTTTTAGATTTATTCATATAATATATTGCTATGCATGAAAAAGTTTCTTATAACATAAACTAAAAGATAGATAATATTAGTGAAAATTATTTTCACAGGGAAATAAAAGGAGCTGTTTAAGGAAAATAAGTGCATACATGAGTTAGTTAAGGGAAGAATAAGGAATTGAATACAATTTATGTGTAATAAGTCATAATCAATATTCAATTGTCATGGTAGTTAGGTATATAAATAGATAAATAAAGAAAAGCTTACTCACAAATCTACAAATGTAGTTTATTCTTACGAAAACTTAGATATTAACATAAATTATTATCAAACAAAGTACAAATTCATCAGTACGACAGTACTAAATAATGGAAACGGACATAAATGTCTAGCAAACATTGAGTTATAAGTATAACAATTCAATAATAAAAAAAAAAAAGGTATAAATGTCCCGCGTCACAATAGATAAAAAATAATAAAAAATATAATATAAATGTATTACATTAGAACATCAAAATAGAAACACAAAAGACAAGACTTAGATATATTTTTTTCATTAAGATACAATATTTGTGAAATTTAAAATTTGTTTCATATAAACTATAAAGGCTAAAGAATGATTTTTAAGTATCCAATTTACCCAATTTTAATGCTTCAAATAAAAATTTATTCAAATTTTGATTTTTTTTTCAAATTCTGTTTAATGTATAACAATTAGGTTTTAAACTTATACCTATTTACGGTATAATATTCAAATATACCAACCACATTAAAATACACGATGTAAAATAATTCAGTTACTACTCTCCTCATTAAACACAATATAAAACAGTATTTAAATGACTACACAATTCAAATTGTGGTTTTTAAATGTATTTAATGATTAGAAACATTAGAATTTGAAGCATTTATAGGCAAATAAACTTAAAAATTAACATTTAGAATATACTTAAAATATAACACGTAAAATGATATTAATGTATAAAATATAGTAAAGAAATATTTTAAATTACAATAAATGATCAAAATAATAGTAAATTATAATAATAATAAAAATTATAAAAAGTTAAGACATTTGCATTGAAAAATCCCATGTGAAAATAGTGACAATACTGTATGAAGTTTAGTACATTTTTTTGCCTAGAACTAGAAACAAATTATCTCGCTCAAATTTAGGTTTATTTAACACCAAAAAACACAGCGAATAATAGTAGCTACTCAAAATCTCAATTCCTGAAAAGTTAATATTAGAAAAATGAACCAACAAATCATAAGGCATTGTCTAATCAAAATATGTAAAGTTATACGCGAGCCTAAATTTAATACATTGTAGTAATAACTATATACGTTTTTGTCTAAAAAGTCTTATAGAACCTGCAAACGTCAAAGAGTTTGTAGTTTATTTATATAAATATCTCTAGTATTTTATTATGTAAATTAAAATCCTTTATGATTTTAATTACAATATATTTTAATGTAAACTATTTAAATATATAAATCTTAATTTTAAAGCAAGCTATATAATATAAATACTCATTGATTACCCGATATGTTTGTTATAGCATGATGCATAATAATTATAATCATAATTTTTATATATTTCAATTATGCGGAGCCAAAACAACTATAAGCTTATATCTATTTAAATATCTAAATTTAATATGTATATAAAAAAAAATTAATGTAAATATAATACGATAATAATGAGCACAGACTTATTAGAACACCATAAAAAATAAAATAATATTCTATTTCAGCCAATATCTTTTTTATACAATATTATACCATGACGGTCAATACATAAGTGTAACATTCAGTAAAACCTCCAATTTTGATGACTTTCACAAAAAAATCTTATAACACAGATACGTCCTTTTTGTGTACTGTACATTTATAATATTATATCAAAAACACAAATTTCACAACATATTATAGACAATTAACAAACATTAATCATGTACATCCAACACACAAGTACAACTTTCTTTCTTCTATTTACATAATTTAAATTATAAATTATGTTGAAAGTACATCACTATCAAGAAAAAAATATGACAATATATGGGCATAATATATGATAAAATGTATGTGTATCTGTAACACTGAATATAGAGGAACTAGTTTATGGTATAATATATCATATTACATGTGATGTGTGTAATTATATAACATTGACTATATAAGTATTATAATTGTAAAATATACTATACTAAAATTATAAGAGGAAATATAACTATTCTACACCTATACATAAATAGTTTATAAGGGTTACCTTGATAATTTTAAGCATTTTTTTTTAACTGGCCAAACTAGAACTGGTACAAGTAATTTTTATTTATCCAATTACGCAGATTTAAAACCAGCAGCCAATTAAAAGTACGATAATATTTAGAGGAATACCTTGTACAGAAAGATAGTTTTCTACTAAAACTATATACACTGATTAACACACACGGTTTTAACAACAAGATATAATATTGATTAACTATGATAATATAAAGGATTAAAACATTTAAAACATACACGATGCAAAGGAATGTCTGAAGGGATCCTTATTATAGATTGAGTTCAATAGTACAGTTTGGAAAATAGACGGCGTGTTGTGAGTTCAATTCATTTGAGGTCTGATTTTCAGCTTGTGATCAACGTTCTACAAAATAAAAACAACAATTACATACTTGTGGTACGCCTGTTATTTTTCTGTAAGTAAACAGTAACTCGAGCGTTATTGAGTTTGGTTTTATGTTCAACCAGGTTTCTGAGCATAACTAGAGGGCATTGGAATTCTATATTAATAAATTTCTGATTAAAATTCCAAAGAACTAATCAAAACTGGTAGAACAATGCCGTTTATGTGTACAGAAACATCTTACTTCAATTTTAACAATTTAAATCATACATTCATACAATGGTTACTATAAAACAAATATGTAATATATGATAACAGTATAACACGCATTTACCATAAAGATGCAAGTTACTGAACCACTAAGAATAACAATTAAACAAATAATATTTTTAGTACTAAATATTTCAATATATATATAATATATAACAATTAAAAACTATATTAAATCAAATAAAACAAAAAAATAAAATAATAGCTGTGTTTAGAAGGCAATTCAAATGACCAATACCTCATAGGTGTGTTTGCTTAAATTAAACGTGTTTAGTTAAAGTGTCTTTGTGTCGTTTTAATTCTTATTGTTGTAAAACATACATGTAATTATACTATAATGCTTCTTCAAGACATGTACATTTTTTTGAAAATTAAATAAGTAATTTATTTCCAATGCCCTTCCTCACCTAATATTATAATGTTATAAATTTACATTTAAAGTTTATGTATGTGTAAAGTATAAAAAATATACAATTTATACTAGTGGTGTCAAATCATTATATATAAGTGCCACCTCTCATACAGTAAAAATTTCTAATTGGAAAACACAAGGGATTCAAATTTTGGACATATTAATCAAAGTCATTTTTTTAAAATCGACAATACTTTTCATATGCAATAGAATTCATATTTGTTTGGTGTTTGTTAAAAGCAGTTTTCACTGTATTAATATTATAAAGGCCACAGTATATTAATATTTATTATAAACAATAATAAATCTTAATCTAAATTAAAAATCAATATTAAATTATTTTTATAATTATACCAAAATATTACTTCTACATACATTTTAAGTTATTTAATGATAGATGACCCATTTATGATAAACTTACTTAGTACTAAATCAATTATAAAAGTTAAAAGATCTAACAAAAATAAATTAATCTATTATTTTCAAGAATATTGATTAAATTTCCTAAACTCAATAAAAGTCTTCTTGGTCATTTATCAATGAAAATAATATATTTAACATCTATCTATATTTTCATCACAAATAGAAAAGTAATAACCAAAAAAAAAAAAAATAAATATTTATATAGGTTCACTAAAAACTTTTTATATAAGTATATTACCTGTGTTGGGCAAATTGGAATCTGATTAATGATATTGATTAAATTTTATAATTGTTAATCGCTATAAAAATTAATGTAATCGTTAATCACAGTTAAAAATAATTTCAAATAATTAAAGTAATAATGTAATTATAGTATTGATTACAATTACAAAATGTATTAATTTGTAATCATGATTAATCTTTATTATTTTTTCTATAATTATTGTATTTTATATTTAATTTAAGAATAAAAATTAATTATAATATTAATTTTACAGTAATATATTTGACACATGATAAAAAAATTAACGATATAATAAAAAAACAACAACGCATTTTAGAAATAAAATCATTGTAATAATTCAATGATGTTAATAAAAAATAATGATAATATATGTTAATATGATATTCATAGTAATTTCACTGTCACTCATTGTAGTTTTTAATAAATTATTAGGATGAAAAACAACAAAATAACCTAGTAATGTTCTAAACCAACTAAATACAAACAATATTTTACTGTACGTTAATAGATAAATTTAGGTAAAGAAACCTTAAAAAATTATCAGATAAAAATATAAGTACAATTTATCGACCAGTAATTGTAGTTGTGCGATAATGATTGACGATTACAAAAATTTAATCATGACTATTGACTACTGATTATTTTGAAAAACGATTAAACGATTAATAACTAATGTAGTTTAACAATTTAATCGTAATCAATTACATAATTTAATCATAAATTAATCAATTATGCCCAACACTGTATATTACTACAATACTTAATATGACCAAATTCCTCAATTATGGCGGTCAGCATTGAGTTACAAGTAGGTATCCCATTAAAGATTGTGGTCTAATCAAAACTGTAAATTGTACCATCTTTTACTATATTTTCACTTTTTAAAACATTGTTAATTATTATTATTTTTAGACCTAAGACTGACCTATCTCATATATTATAAATAATACAATATTGATTGCACTGATCTTAAATATTATTTTGTTTAATAAATGTAGGTATAATATCATTACACCAAAAATCTAATGGTACCACCTTAGATAAACTTGTAGAGAGGACAACTCATTAACTAACCTAGTTTAGATTTTATGATTTTTTCTAATTAATATATACATATAATTTAATTGGTCATATGATGAATATTTAAATATTTATTCCATTTTTACATTATTTTTACTTCTTCACTTTAAAAATACTATATTACAAAAAAAATAAATTATAATTATAATGAAATATACCTAATAAGAATATAAAAATAATGCCGATAAAACAATTGTTTATGTTGTTTCTTAACTTGCAGAGAATAATCTATTAGGATATTTGTTTTATTTATATTTAATTTAAAGTAATAATATATTGTTAACAAGTATGAAGCTGGTTAAGCTTATAGTATTTAAACATAATATATTAAGTTGATCATCTTTAAGGTTTATAGACTAAAACATAATCTTTTGTTCTGAACAATTTTAAATATTTTGAAAAAGTTGAACCACAAAAGTTCACTTTTAAGTTTGTAAATTATGTTTTCAAATTTTAAAGTAACTATTAATTGAAAGAAATAATTAACATTTAGAACCAGGGGCGGACTGGCCAAGGAGACAAAGGGGCAATCATCTCCCAGGCCCTTGATAGTGTTAATTAATACAAATTTTACATATTTAAGTATAAAATGTAATATTAAAATATAATAGTAAAACACCATTTATTTTCAAATGAATGAAAATTAATTGTGCACTATTAAATAAATATGTTTATTAATTAAAATGTGATTATAATAGGTTCAGTTTATTAACCCTCCGGACCCCTCGATATCAGTCCGTCCTTATTTAGAACAATATCTTTTCATTATTTTAAGCACAAAAGGAACATTGAGATAATATCTAATACCTGTATTACAATTTAAATGTGTATACACTTTTAAAAGATAAATATTTTAAATCTGTCATAAATTACAAAATTTATTTTGTAAACTTAAAAAAATTTAAATAGAAATATTATTTATAATCTTTAAGTGTACCTTTGTTATTTTAAGCTAAATAATTTAAAAACTTTAATACACCCATATATATATATATCGTAGGTGATTTATGATGGTAATTTACAAGATTTGATTTTAACTATCCATACTTAACAAAATGGTTTTATCTTGATGGATCTCTCCTCTACTATAATTTGTTGTAAAATACACAGAATCAACATAAATATGTAATATAATATGCTAATAAAAATAATGTTCAACTTAGAATTTTTTATATAATTTTAATCGTTGTAATATATTAATATTTAGTTTATACAACATTTTTAGTTCTGGATAGAATAAACTAAGTGATTAATTACAAAAATAAAAAATAGAAGATTTTATATGAGATCTATTAATTATTTACCACACTATTTTTATATTTAATTTCATCTAAACTTTTCTTTGCAATATTTTGAAATTAAAAAAAAAAAATTGTAAGTATACATGATTTTATTAGATTTGTTATAATTTAATTTATTTTAAACTTCTATACTTCTAATATTATTTATACACAGTAATACATTAACTATAAAATTAATTATTTGTCATCACATGTCTAAATAACTAATAAATAGCGTTGTAAAAATTGATGCCTGATTAATGAAATTTAAGTTTAATATCTACTATGATATAATATATTTTATAGTAAGAATTACATACTTATACATTATAGTTTTTAAAGTATTTTTGTTAAATTTTAATACCAAATACTTCTTTTGAAACTGTTTTTTTATTAATACATTAAATAATACATTTTATTTTAACTGTAATCAAACAAAAATATTATCTTCAGTAGCATATATACATATAGAATGACTTAAATACATCACATTTTAAGATTGAATTGTAATTTATATTTTTAAAGAGTTGGTAAGTTTTCTACTAGTTTTTCATACCTACTTAAAAAGTTAAAAATTTATAAATTATTCAAACTAATAAAATAATAATGTGTAACTATTATAAAATATTCAATCAAATTTACTAAAATGCTTAAGGGTTTTTCATTCTAACCAGTATTTAAAATATTCAACTGATTTCCTATATTTGTTTACACTAATGGTATTTTTTTAAGTTAATTGATTTTTCATATTACATTCTATTTACATTGGTTTTTATGAAATTACATATTATTCAGGAATCATTTATCTTGTAGGACTTAAAAGAACAAACTACTAGTTTATTGATTATTTAAATGTTTTTAAATGGTTTATTTAAGATTTATTTTATATACTTAAATAGTAAAATATTTTTTACTCCGTTAAACTAATATGACACTAAAATTTTTACTTAGAATTGTTAGGTTTTCATTTAACTTTTCTAGTGCATTCCATTTTTTTTTTCATTTGATCTCACCTTCTGTCGCTTCAGTACACGTGCATCAGTTTTGCGTCTTGACATGCCCCAATACCGGGCCGATACAAACCTAAATACCCTTTTGGCCACATTGAGTGAACAAGACTGTAAATTAAAAAAAAACAACCACGGGGATTTCATAGATGGAATTCAAAATCAATTTTAATAAAACAAAACAAAATAAAATAGAAAAGAAATCTCGGCCAATAATAACGAAGTGCCGTTTAAATAAATTTGAATAAAATGCCAAATAACCCAAACCTGATGATAATAAATATTTTGGTTGTATTTGGCATTTGCATTTTGTATATTTATTATATTTATGAGTAGTTCGCAATTTATATACCTTCTAAACACTCTACATATCACGAATGACTCATCGGCTAAACTTATCTTATTCATGAGTTCTATTCGTATCGTATATTACTAATGTTTCACTTTTCCAGTACAATAGGTTCTTAAATATACACATAAAAATGTGGCTGTGAGTACTAAAATTATTAAAACATACCTCGTGTGTATTTCAAGTTTGAATTTGAATCATTTAACGGCATTAATGTCATCTGATTTTTTAAAGTTATATTCTCGTTTTTCATAATCTAATTGTGATTTTACTTATTAATCAACTTTTTATTCACTAATAAATTAAAACTAATTTTATTTTATTTTTAAAATTTACCTTTAGATTGTTTTTCAGATTTTTTTTGTTCATTTAATCCTTCCCAATTATATTCAGCACCACCATCATCATTATCATCATCTGAAGAATTGTTCCATCTTTGGTCTTCCCTATCACTCCCGCCATCATGGATTTCATCCTTAAATAAATAAATCTTGTACAATAAAATACTATTGCTGAATTTCATAAACAATCATTAATCATTTAATGAATCAATAGTGAGCTAATGGTGGTTCTTAAAACACAATTCAGTGGCTCGTCATGATTGGTCTAGCATATATTTTTAAATTTTATTTATCATGCAATCTATTAGTTCAATTTATTAATTTTTCAATTAGTATTATATGGTCACATATACAGAGTTATAAATCAAATATGTTCATCCCTTATTTTCCTTAAAAATAAAAATCTGTTTTAAAAAAAAAAAAATTTTATTTTGTGTTTAATGGAAATATAAATTTCTGTTTTTCAATTGACAACATTTTTTTTATATAGTAAATTATTTAGCAAGTGATTTTTTTTATGAATTTTGAAGAATTAAATTCAAAAATCAAACAGGAATTTCTGAATTATTATAATAAGAATAATAAGTCTGAAAGATATTTATTTGGATGATATAGAGATTGCAACATTTTAATAATTTATATTAATGAGTATTTATAGCAAATAAAATGTAGGCTATCTTCATGTAATAAATACTAGATTTAATAATAAATTTGTTTTATATTTTTATAAAACTACTTTTAAAGACTGTTATCCCTACATAAACATTTTTACAACTAAAAAATCATGTTTGAATTTTGAATTAGATACTCAAAATTCTAAAAAAAGTTATTCATTAAATTATTTACTATAAAAAAGAGGGATTTTCATTTGAAAAACAGAAATTTGTATCAGCACAAGACTCCCTTCAAATTAGATCTTCAAACCGAATATTAGAAAGAAAGTTCTCTAAGTTTAATTTTATTATTTAAAAAATTCTAAAAATTAAAATGTTAATAAATTCATTAATACATAAAACAATGGGAATAATTAGCTTGATGAATAACCTCGCATATGTAAACAAATATTAGGTAGAGTTGCTTTTAAAATTATATCATTAACACAATTTTTATATTAATTTTCAATAAATAAATATTATACTTGAAAGAAGTTTTCTTATTGGTTTGGCAGAAATCAAGGCAATTAGCTGCTTAAAGTCTAAAATTAAATTTTTAATATACTTCACATTAATGTAATAATTAAAATAGATATAATATGTCTTCTTATTAATTGCATACAATTAAGATAAAAATAATAGGTTTTATATCTAGACAAATTCAATTTTTAATCTTTCATAAAATATATTACATAAAGCAGTCAAATTAATTCTCAATAAACTTACAGTTGTAGGTAAAGTAATGTCTTTGTTATTTTCTGATAGTATTTGTTTTTTTGATACGAATGAATATGGCATTTCAAATTCATCTTCATCATCTGGTTTTTCATTCCATCGTCTATCTTCATCTTCAACTCCCTAAAATCCATAATAAGAACTAAATAAAATATCAACTATTTGATTAAATTAGAAAAAAAAATGATAAAAATTAAAATATTAATATAGTTACATTTTTTTTTTCATGCAATATAAGTTAATATATATGTTAATGATGAAAACTTAATAAATTAATAAATCAAAATTACAGTAGGTATTGTGATATCGTCACTGTTATTGGTTTGAATGCACTGTGCACTATTATTATCACCAAGCACTACATCCATACTGACAGTTTCATTTCTTTGGAAAGTATAAGTTACATTTGATGGATCTTCATCTTCATAAAATTGTTCATCATATTCATCATCATAATCGGGACATTCAGATTTAATATTAATATCATTTCCAAATGGTACATGAGATTCATATACAGAATCTTGGTCATAATCATCTTCTTCCATCATTTCAGGCTTAACTACTCTGGATACATTAATTGGAGGTGGATCATATTCTTCAATATTTTCCTAAAAATAGTATAAATTATTATAAAAATTAAATAATTATAATTAATTTAACATTTATGAAATAAAGTAATGTATACTTCTATAGGTTCTCTCTTGATTTTTTTCCGTAAACTTTGTACGTCAAATTCATTCATCTCATTTGGCTAAAAATAAAAAATAAAATTAAGTAATTTTTAATCCAAAAAAGGAGTTTTCATCCAAAAAAATAAAAACTTACTAATTTATCAACTTGTCCAGGTGGATTTACATTTCCTTTACCACGCCTAAATCTTAAAACAACTGATCGGCTATCAATAACCAAATTATATTTTTCTTTATATGCTTGTATTGCGTCTTCAGCATTAGAAAATTTGATAAATGCATATCTAATAAAAAAATAAATTTATTACTTGCACAGTTTTAGAGGAATTAACACTTTTCACTAGGAAATTTTTAGTATACTTTCTTGAACTTAAATAAAGAGAAAAATAATTATAAAAATTAATGGTAAAAATTATTTTTTAAAGGATATTTACAATAAAAAGTTACACATATGTTATTTTTAACAGATTTCTATCTTTTAGGTACATATTATTTATTATTTTTAACATTTGTTATAGGTATATGAAATTATTTTATAATTATAATTATGACTACACAAAGAAAAAGTAAACATATTAATAGTATATACACAAAATATATTTGATTTAACTAATATTAGAGTTTAGAATTTACCTTGTGTACTTCATTTTTTTAGCAAACCCAATGTCAACTCGAGTGGCTTTTGGAAATTCATCTTTAACAGCATTAGATGTGATATTTGTTGGCAAATTTCCAAGATATAATCTGAAGTAATGAATAATTTTATAATCCATTATATAATAATAATAATAATTATTATTATTATATTTAATAACAATACTAATAATTTGTATACATGAGATGTAGAACTTTTATAAAAATAACTATTTAAACATATATACATTAAGCTATAAGGTATTTATTTGTTATAATACTTATAGACTAAAACGTGGTCGTCCTCATGACGTCTTAAATTAGCTTATCTTCAAATTATTTACTATATATTATGTTAATATCGTTTTTATAAATAGCTAAAAATTTTGTACATTATACCTAAGTTTAGATGATTTTGTCAGGAAAACTTTATAAAAAAAAGTATCCTCCCCTCCTCCAAATGCTATATCATGTTTTAATGTCTTGTTGTTTGTTAAATTTATATTTGAGATATTTTGTTTATTTATGAAAATATAATAATATCATGAATTAGACTAATTGTTACAGAGTTTGACATTTCCTTTATATTTACACCAGATGAATTAGTTCAATGTGTTATCTATGTGCAATTGTAAAAAATATTAACTATAATTAACTGTGTGCATTATATTTTGATAAAAATAGTGCTATTGAATTTTTTCAAAATAAAAAATATTTTACACAAAATGCTTACATGTAAAAATAATCTCAAGAAAATATGAAGATATCGGATCTAAAATTTCTATGGAGATATACATTTTAAATATATAAGTTAACAAGAGGTATTTGTTTTAAAATTTGAAAATGCAATTTTTAAGCTAAATAATTATAAATAAGAAAATGTATTGTTGTCGACTTGAAAAATTAATGAAGTAAGGTATGCAATAATTCATTATTGAATAATAATTTCAAAATAAAACTGTAAATTTAATTGATGATTGTGTATTGTGTATTGAGGGAGAGGAGGAGGGATATTATAACAGATAAGTACCCATATAAACAATGCATATTTTAATTTAAAGAAGAAAAATATAATTACTTTACAGATATATTTAATTGTAATAGTTATCAATTATAAAACAAATCTGTAAATTATCTCAACTAAAAAAATTCCAAATTTAAAAATAAATACATTTTTAGTAGTTACATGAATCTATAATCAAAAAGACTTACGTATACGGATCAATGCATTCTGGGAATGCTTTTTCTTCAAACTGACTTTCTTTAATTTCTACTCGCAATTTTTCATGTTGGAAAAAAGTTTCATTTAGCGCATTTGCAACATTTTCAATATTTGCACTTGGTTGTACTTGCACATAACAATATCTATAATGAAATAAAAAGTAGAAATAATTTTAAGTTTATACCAAATAAATATTTTATTTTTAAGTTGAAATGTACAAATTTAATTTAAATTATAATAGTTTAAGTTATTTACCTTGGATTACATGGTGTATGGAAATGTACAGACTTAATATCACTATGAAAATTCTGAACAATTTGCCGCGTAATTTCATGATCTGGAAACCTGATCATAATTTGTTGATTGTTTTTAGGTGTTCGAAGTTCCATTTCAGCAGCAATTGCTTTTACAGCATCCTCACGATTCCATGGTTTTTGAGCACGTTGTGGTTCTCCAGATTGTTGTGATTTTAATTTGCGCTTCCGTGTTTTGCACTCTGTTACAGCATTTGTTTCCTACATTTTACAACAATTAAGTAAAACTCAAAGTAATATAAATATTTAATTTAAGTGATAAATTTATGGAACAAAATCATAAAATAGAATCATTTTTAAAATAGACAGAATAATTTAATATAAAATATATTAAAAACAATTAAAACATATCATGAGCTCTAACCTGATTAGTTCCATTTGATTGATTTTGAACAGAACTACGAGGTCTGTTCATACGCATATGTTGTCTTGGTATAAATCGAGGTCTTTGATTAAATTGTGGCCAGTTTTGTGTTGTTGATGAAGATGGTGTTTGCGGGTTTTGCGGAGAATTAGCAAAGAAATTCCCATTCTGTAAAAATGGCAGATGGGTAAAAGAAAGTGTTATATATATATATATAGGTATATTAAAATCAAATTCAAATTAACATACAGCATTTTGAGAGAACTGTCTTGGATAATTGTTTCTTGGTGTATTCCCATATTGATAAGGTGTTCGTTGACGTGCAGTGTTGTTGAATGACCTCCAGCGTGGCAAAGGTGATCTAATAGTACTGTTACTAGTCGAACTGAACGTAGGAGAATTATTATTACAAGTCGTAGTGTTTGTGACAGTAGTTTTGGTCTGAGGCACAGGACTAGGCATACGGAACTGTGTTTGCCATGAGTTTGGAAAAGCTTGTTGTGGCCAGAATCCATGAGGGTGTGTTGGTGGTGGAGACGTAAAGTCTGTTTGCAAGTGAATTTGGTTAGTGTGTGGTGGAGGTTGTTGTGTCACATAACCAGGCAGAACTTGTCTCGGCGGGCTCACTAAGGCCGGTTTATTGTCAATCGACTGGTTTTCCACTAAAAAAATAAAAGAGTTGCATATTACATTTCTGTATATATGAGTTTTCCGCCGTATGCATGAATACTAACTCGTTGATACTTGTCAAATGCTTTTCGTAGACATTACAACGATTTGTACAATATCGAAAAAGACATCGAAATAGGTCAGTTTTGAACGTACTGCGTTACAAAAACTGAAAATTATAAATCGATAAATTGGTACGAACCAAGTACCTACACGGCTACACGGTACGCGTACATACAATATACATACAACATCAATTATTACAATAACACAAGTTACTTTGGCGCAGCTTGTCACTCCTTGTGGCAGAGACCGTGGAAACTATGATAACAAGCCATGTTTTGAGAAACAATCCGGCAACGGTGTAAATACAATTTTGTTATGTTGATAGTGTTTTTTGATGATAAAAAAAGAAGCATTTTGTTTACGTTTTACTTTTTTTTTTAAGTTTTCGCTCTTTCGTTTTCCAACGTACACAATTGTTTTTGTTGTTCGACTTTTTATATTATGTGGTGGTATAAATACACCGTAAGTCATTCTGAGACGCTTCTCAAGCTTCGTTGATTGTTGTGTATTTATCGTGTCTTGTTTATACGCAAGTGATCAAAATACTTATGTTTTAAGTCCTCTCAATTCGCCGGCCCGGTACAATGGACTTGGTATACTCAATATTTCGTAAACAAGCTTGGAAAACACAATTTCAAAATGAACAAATGGAGGAAGATATGTGTTTCAAATGTTTAGCTAAGATCTCTGCTAATAATATCGTTGCTTGGGTAACTACATTCGATCTAGACGATCATGTTAACATAAATTGGGGTTCACATGTTTACATAGCCGATCTAAATGTGCCATGGAAGTACCATAAGATCACATCAAATAATTGTACTGTTACGACTTTAGAATGGGATATGTATGGATATTCACTGTTAATTGGAGATAAAAATGGAGCTGTATCAATATGGACTTGTAGCACTGATCACAACCTTACCAATTGGGTACAGGTTGGTTCGAAAGATTTTCGAGGTGAACCTATTATAGCTGGTACATTTTTCCATTTGGGGAAAAAATTAATGCTTGTCAATGAAAAGGCAGATAATATCAATTATTTTGAAAAATTCAACTATGTCAGATTTACACCATCTTTACGAACATGGGGTGGCACAGGATTACCTGGATGTTTAGTAGTGTCTGCTACAGGTATGATTGCTGCTTTGTTGACTAATGATAGCGGAGAGCCTATGATTTCAGCTACTAACAGTTTGGCTGTTGCTAGATACCGTATATCTGTTGTTGACATCAGTTATCGACAAAATGGAAATTTTTTGATTGTCACATCTGATGGACGGCCACGTTCGCCCATACATTGTTACGAAATCTCAATAAAGCTTGTTAATGAAAAAAATTGCACTATAGTATCACAATGGCTCCCTAGCTTTTTCTTAACATTTAACGAAACAGTGGATAGAGTTATTTCACATGTAAAATTCTTATTACGAGAAGGTTCTGAATCCCTTGTAATTGGAAGCAATAGCAGTAATGGGTGTATTATAGAAACATGGGAATTAGTAAAAAAAACTAATCCAATTAACAAAGTTTTTAAAAAAGTCATTACTGAAGACCATCCAACAGTATGTTGGATTAAAAAAAGCTCATTTAGTGTAGGAGCTCAATTAACAGCATTGGCTACACCCAAAATGTCTATATCTTACAATCAATCTTCTTGTAGCCAATATGTAGTGGCTGCATTTAGTAATCATCAAGTTTGTTGTTTATCCAGAGAATTAACTCAACAATGTTTGTTTGAATTGAGTAGCTATTGCGAAGATAATATAGGAAAAATAGGTCTACAGCATAGTAGCAATATTCAATTTTCAGACTTGGACATTTCTTACTTAGGAAATGTGTTTGTTGTTTGCGACAATATGGGGAATTTGTATTTATTTCAACTACTTTCCGTAGCAGAACTGAATGGACCATTAACTGTTGCTTATGCCACATTACAACTTGAATATTGCTTAGTGACTGGCCTGGACTGGTGGGATTTGGCTATATCATTAAGACCGAACATGTTGGAGGCTGTATGCAATCGCTTCAGTGAAAACTTCCAAAAACAATCCCAAGTTCTTCAACAAAAAGAGTACACTACCTATTTGAGTATTCGTTCTTTTCTTTACAAAATGATGCCAGGAGCACAAGGAAAGCGTTCTGACCTCATGCATTTGATGACACTTCATTCCATATGTAATGCATTCAAGAATGTTTTACGTGTTAGTGACATTATGGTTGATCGAGATCCAGCTGAGAATATATCAAATGCACTTAAAGAACCTATTGTGGACATAGACAAAATTTTACCAAGTTTGGGTGGTAAAGATTTTACTGTAGAACCTAGCACTCTTCAATCGCTCCATCAACTCATTCAATGGGTAGCACAACTTGCTCTAAATGTAGTTTCTAGAATACCAGAGCCACGAGATAATGTTGGATACAACTTATTAAATGATTTGTATGCCATAAATTCAATAAGAGAGTTATTACTTATGATTCGTATTTGGGGTTTATTGAGACCTAATTGTTTACCAGTCTTTATTAAAAATATTGATAATTTAGATGTATTGTCAGTTACATTTCGTTTACTTTCAAGATTTGTTCAACTAGGTGGTGAACATGATGATATGTTATTTGACGAATGTTACACACTTCAAAGCCAGGTTAATATAACTCCTCTTACGTCGGTCGCAGCAGGAATTCATGAAATTGCATCTCCTGCTCTTTACTACCAACATTTACCATTGAAGCTGGTGTTTGGACAAGAACCGGATTGTTTAAGATATAATACATCTTCTATGGATACAATGACAAATGGAAAACAACATTCAGATTACATGAAAGATTATGATGTCATTAGGAATGTATACATTGGTAAATGTCCATTAACAGTGAAGCAGTGTAATAGATGTGAAGGTAAAATGCAGTTGGTAGGAAATTCGAGAACAGCAGCAATTAGAGTATGGGAAAATAGGTGGGCAAGAAATTGCCGATGTGGTGGTAGGTGGAGGACAGTCAAGGTAGGTGGGCAGTAGCTAGTAAGTTTAATAATAGATAATTACATTATTACTATAACTATTATTATTAAACCTAAAATTCAATATATTTAACAATAAACTTCAATTTTAAACTATCCAAGGCGATTATGATTCCAATTTAATGTTTGTAGTTTGATGTTGATTGACATAAATTACCGATTGAATATTTAAGTAATTATTATTTATAAAATGGTTTGTGTCAATTGAGTCGTCTAATTATAATAATTTAAAATTATTACTTTATCTGTTAGATTAATCTGTTTTAAACAAAATTTATTATATAATTACATTTTGTTAAATTTTCTATTATACCGTGAATTTGATAATAAGAAATAAATTAACAGATAATATCGCCAAGGTTAAGAAGTATTTTTATACAAACCATTAGTATGAAATAATCTTCAAGATTAAATTTTGATCTCTAAAATGTTAGTTAAATATAATTAATTTTAGAATAGTTTAATAATGTATATTTACTATTATAATATCTTATGATGATGATTTATAGTTCATATTAAATATGACAACTTGATGTAATAAATGAAAATTTCTTATATTTAATATTGTTATCATGATTACACCTACATGGTTAAGTATATTCTAATTTATAAACAAATCAACATTACTGTACAAAGCTTGTTAGGAAATAATTAAGTATGCTACATTATAAGTACACATTTTATTTGTTCAACCATTTTTTTTTTTTTGTTATGTATTTTTGTTTGTAAATTATTTGAAAAAAAAATAAATATTGTTTGTTTATTTTATTCAAACAACTATATAATAAATGTAATACACATTACAATGTTTCTATCAATTTTTGGGTTTTTCATTTTTAGACTCATTATTTGAGTCATTAATGGTTTCAGTTTTTGAAGTTTGTCCTGAATAGTCTGTAGCCAAATATGTCATTAAATCTGTTAATCCTTCAAACTCTGTACGAGAATTATGAACAGTTGGAGTAAGCCTTGGGAGAAGTGAACCTATTTTCAATCTAAACTCGTGCATCTGTAAAATTAAAATACAATCATATTATATAGTGTGTTTGTAAGATAGTGTTAAAATGGTTAGGTTTCTTGCTTTTTTTACTGATAGTTTATCAGAATTATTTTTTTTAGGAGTAAAAATACAAATACATATGTATCCAAAATTATATGAATTAACTAAAAGATATATCAAGAATCTATTATTCAATAACTACTTTAATTATTTTTATAATATAATTATTCCAGTGATTACTGATTAGAAATATTTAATTTAAGGATTTTAATATTGTCATTATGTTAGTCATTTATGACAAATTTATTATACACATAATAATACTGAGACAAATAGAATAATAAAATTACTGTAGTACCTATACCAATTGAGAATTAAACAAATATAAAATATATCAGTTTTAAATTTACAAATAATCTTAGAAAGTATACAATAAGAAAAATTAATATTTATTTTTAAAATTTTTAAAGTTGTAAGTGCCTTATGACTATTGTAATAAGGTTAGTTCATTGTGTGAATAAGTAAGCAATCCACTTACTAACAGTGGTAAAGAACCTCATCAACAAATGGTTAAAACAATAGTTATATAAGGGTGATTAGTCCTAGCGACTGTAGGTCTAATATATGCCCTCACAATAGTCAATAGTGCTTGCTATGATTCGGCGCTACTGCTTATTTAATACTTTATTATCTATAATAAAATAATGCTTGTATTTAAAATACTTGAAAATAAATTATAAGTACTACAATATATTTATATATATAAAAAAAATAAAACAAGTATTAAGTTTAAATTAGTTTACTATTAAGAGATAGACAATAATTATTTTTATGTGTTCCAGATCATTACTAATAGTATTTATTTAGCTCTTTATTTAATCTAATTCCATAGTAAATTTGAAAAAACAAATCAAAAATGTTAATACCAGTGCTTGATTTGGGAGGGGGACGGAGTCCCCCTTCTTTTTTATGTTTTTTTAGCGTACCCCTTCTATTTGCCCCCACGGTAATGTGATGGTTAATTTTGTGTGGAACGCTCGTTTATCAAACATCCGATGAGTCCCCCTTCTATTTTTTTTCTAAATCAAGCACTGGTTATACATGTCATATATTATAATATTATTTAATTTGGCTTTATGAGTCTTTATATTTAATATTTATTTATTTA